TTGGTCTCTAATTTTGTGGTTAGGCTGAGAGGATATCGGTTGCTACTCTAGAACTCCCACTACTCCCTCACCTGAGGGCTAACAATCTCGCATTAGTTTTCAACTAATTGGACCAAATTGGGGATTTTAATCTGTTACATTAAAATCTCCAATTCTGCATCAAACAAAGTATATTTCACAATTTATTTGCACTTAACCTCACGGATGACATTCTTTCCCATGAAATCAAATGTGACTCTCACTATGTTGTAGAAATCATAGCCCTTTTGGAACATATATTTCTCAACACATTTTAACATTTCAATTGGTCAGATTGAAAAGTAAATGAAGATCGGAGTTCAAATCATCACAAATTTTTTACATTTAAAACCATATAAAAACAAAATCAACTCTTCACAAAACTAAATCTCATTGTAGGGAGAATGATAAAGAAGACTACTCAGAATTCATGAGAAGAATACGACAAAACACATATTTCATATATAAAAACTAGTTTACAAAACAAAGAAATAAAATAACACAACATATATTATAATTTTTCTCAAGAAAATCCCTACAAGTTCTCCTCAAACACTTTCCCTCTTTACAAGCACTCACAATTCCCTCTCAGAATAGCAATGAAGTAAAAATCTCTCACATTCCCTCTCCTTTTACAATCCTTAAAGAAAATATCTAAGCCATTGACTTTCTCTCTTTCTCTTACCTGCTTCAAAAATCCTCTCACTCTTACTCGCGCCCTCATCTTTTTCACACCTACAAGCACTAGACTTTGATCTCTTCTATTAGAAGCTGACTCCCTCTAAAAAGAGTTCAAAATTCTCTTCAAAAGTCAACCTTTTTGAATTCAAAAGACATGTCTATTGATCCAAGAGACATATACCTTCATAAAAGAACTTTCCAAATTGTCTAGATGCATTGAAAGACTCTTTGGAGTCTATCGTTGCAGTGCCCGGTCTGTAAGCTGAGCTCACAAAAGCCCTATCCACGATCATTTTGGAAGGATACTATTTGTTCTCTCTATTACCCGTTGCTGGTACTGGATAGGAGCAAATGGAGCATCGCTCACGTTCCCTCGGATTTATGGGGCAACAGACAAGAGGGATCGGGTCCTTGGTGATGAGGATTGGTTTATCAGCAAGATAGGCCAGTGGCATGGTCGCTGATCATTTGTGGGAGGTCTCAATCCCTTTGGTGTTCAAGGGTTTGGTCGTGGCGGCCCTGCAGGTGGAGGTTAATGCTTTGCGGGATGACCTGGCTGAGGTTTTGCACGCATTGAGAGCACTTCAAGAGTCGGCCGACGTCTCCAAATTCCATCATAAGGTTGACCGAATGGAACGACTTAGGATAGGAGGGTCAATGGTCCTCAGAAGGTTGACTCAGAAAAGGTACATCCCGCCTGAGACCTTGGAAGACCCGCTCATAAAGCATTTTTTTTACATGTAATAATGTTATTTGGAATCGAAGAGACATTTGAATAAATTTAAAAAGATGTTTGGTATGTTACTTGATGTGCAGTTTTGTGGTGCATTATAAATATCTTTCAATATTATAATACACACACTGTAGGACAAATAGTAAATATGCACTTGATGCACGGTTTTATGGTGCGTTGCAAATCTATTTCAATTTTACAATACACACACTGCAACACAAATAGTAAATACGCAATTAAATTTCATTAAAAATAAATTTAGTATTAATAATTTTATTTTTTAAAATCTTTAAGCTGTCAAACTATAATAGTAACATAAGTATGTGTATTGCTCAAATAATAAAAGGGTTCTAATGGAGTCCTAAGTATCAATCCCACATGGAGTTAGAAATTCTTATGGTTATAACGTCAAACACAATATTCAAACTATAAACTTAAGTAAGCAAAAAAAATCTAAATTAAATTTATTATATGCTAAATGAAATGCAGTTAAAAGAGCTAGGTTAACTAAGCAATTTGATAAACTTCAAAAGTAAGCTTATAAAAACTAAACAAAATTTTGTAACAAAGAGTTCAAATTTAAGAAAGCATCATCCCCCTTTCCAATGACTTTATGGATTGTAAAGTAATTAAAATCATTTAAAATACATATAAATTTATGTTGTGTCAGATAGGAGCAATCCTATTCTTTACCCTCTGAGAGTGCAGAAAAAATATTGACTAATCCAGAGTTTGGTCCGTAAATTCGTGGTTAGGTTGAGAGGATATTGGTTGCCACTCCAGAGCTCTCACTTCTCCCTCCCCTGAGGGATAATAATCTCGCTTTAATTTTCAAGCAACTGTATCAAATTGGAGATTTTAATCTATCACCTTAAAATCTCCAAATATGCATCCATCAAAGTACATTTTCCTATTTATTTGCACACAAATTCATGGACTACATTCTCACTGATAAAATTGAATGCGACTCTTATCATGTTGCAGAAAGCATAGCCATTTTGGATCTTATATTTTTCAACAAATTTTAACATTTCAATTGACCAAATTGAAAAGTAAATGAAGATCAGAGTTTGAATCATTAAAATTCATTAACATTTAAAACCTTACATAACAAAATTAATTCTTTATAAAATCATATCTCATTGTAGAGAGAAGGATAAAGAAGATTACTCAGAATTCATAAGCATGATACAACAAAACATAGATTTTATTTCAAAAAATAAGTTTACAAAATAAAGAAAGGAAAGAACAAAACTTATCTAACACTTCTTCTCAAGAAAATTCCTTGAAGTTCCCTTTAAGCACTTTCTCTCTTTATAATCATACTCAATTCTCTCTTAAAAATGCAATAAAGAAGAAATCTCTAACCTTCCTTCTCCTCTTACAACTCTAGAAGAAAATCCTCTCTTCTCCCAAGACTTTTCTCTCACGCCAAACTCTCATCTTCAAACCTCTTGCCCCCCTCTTCTCTTCTCTAGACTCCTCTCTTTTTAGTTAGGACCAACCTTCATTTCAAAAAGAATTCAAAATTCAAAAAGTTTGTGCTGGTTTTTCATCTCCAATACTTCTACAAAAGTAGCAGGTTTAAATAGGTTTAAGTCATATCTATACCGCTCGCTTTAGACTCCTCATTTTAAGGTTGTTCCAGCACTTCAAGTCAAACTTTGAGAAATGGAAGAGGGTGATGTAGGCTTGCAGTCTCTCATTTTCTCCCTTGTTGAGGTTAAACAGTGTGCCTGAGTCTTTCCTTAGCTTATGCACGTTTAAAAAGTGTGAAACAAAGAGTCTCTTAAACTCATAGTAACTTGAGATAGTTTTGATCAACAAACCATTGAACCACCGAAAGGTCAACTCCTTCAGGGTGGTTAAGAAGAGATGACACATTATAGGGTCGTCGATTTAGAGCAAACTAATGGAGGATTCAAACAATGCTACATGGTCGATCGGGCCAGTCCTTACTTTGTAGGAATCTAGAAGAGGGAAACTTTGCTTGGGTGGGGGTATCGCCTCTTTTATTAGATGAGTGAACACCCCTCCCGTGAGTGGTTAGACAGGCACTCGCATCTGTTCTTCCCATCGTTTGTTCATCTGTGCAGATGCACCAATGTCAGTATGTTGGGACTCGCCTTGTCCCTCTGTCCATTGGTTACTAACTTGGTTGTCCAGAGTAAGTGGTTTCACTGGTGAGGGCCTTCAAGGACGGATCCTCTGAGGTTCCACCTCCAAACGGGGTGGTCGGTCGTTCCTCTGGGTGATTGTCGCCCGGAGAATCTTGAATTACTCATCATGAGGATCATTTTGGCTTGTAAGCTCTGGACTTGAGCATAGATGTCTGATTGTGTAGCATCTCTATAGGATTCTATGTGCATTATCTCTCTTTGGAAAGCTTCTCCTTCGTAGTCTTTTCCACTTCTCATCTGTGGTATATCCACACTCATCGCACCACCATTTAAGATATTGAATCCTAAATTGTCCTTTGGGAATAAGCCCCAAAATTTTAGAATTGAATGAAGGAAGAAAGAGAGAAAAGAAATACAACAAGTCATGAGTTTTCTATAGAGAGTATCGGTGAAAGCCATTTTATTTGTATTTGTACCTCCTATTTATAGAAGCATATTTTGTACAATTATTTAAAGGAGGGAGCAGTTATGCGAACAATACAATTAATGCTCTAATTGATCATATAGATGTCATACCATATTTGTGTTACAATTTTAATTTTAACATGACGGTAATTGTCTGACCGACTTGCTTGAATTCGATCAATTGAGGCGGCCGACTAAGAGGTGAATATCCCTTCTGTAACGTGTCGGTCAACTGCGGTGTCTGTTAGGATGTCGATCTCGCTTGCCGCAAAAAAGGTGGGTTGACTGATTTGTTGTAATTAAGGATTCCAGCCTACGCCCTAGTCGGTCGGGACTGTCGGCGTGGTCCGCTGTTCGAATCTCTCATCATAGTGTGCCAGTGGATTCTTGAGCAGACGGTTGTCATAAGGGCGATTGGACGCCTTCATTGTCTGGGCTTCATTTGGGCCATTCGAACGCTTTGAGATTTGTGCTGACAGTAATGGTGTATACAATTTTATTTTAATATCAATTTAATTTTTTCAGAATTTGCCACGCTATTAGATAATTTATAATATATTTTTCATATATATGATTTATGATTAAATCACGTTGGGGTCATTGATGAAAGTACGTTCTCAAATAAATTTTATATTATAAATCTTAATTAGTGATATTACTTTGACTCAAAAAAAAAATGAGTTGTTAACTATGAAAGAGCAGTGTAGAATAACATGTGAGAAGGGAAATCTACAAGAGCAAGAGTAATCAGTTATGTTGTCAACATTGTGTGTGTGTGTGTGTATATATATATATATATATATATATATATATATATATAAACTCAAATTGTTGAATCCATTATAAGAACCGTATGTAAATCCAAAAAATTGCGTGCCGTAAATGAAGATTGTTAAGGAGTACCTGAAGAATTCCGGCGTGATCGCCCCTGGCATGGTCGGGCGCGGCGAAGGTCCAGGTGAATTATATGCTCCGTATGTAAATCAAAGAAATTGCGTGCCGTAAAAGAAGGTTGAAAGGAGTACCTGAAGAATTCCGGCGTGATCACCCCTGGCATGGTCGGGCGCGGCGAAGGTCCAGGTGCCGGGCCAATGGGTCCCATCAGCCATCCACGTGGCCTTCTGCACCTTTACGGGCTCAAGTGGGTCCCCGTCCATCCCGCTTTTAAGCTTCAGCATCTTCAACTCCTCCCGAGCATTAAACGCTTCAGAACGCCGCCGGATTGAGTCCGGCAAACCATTTATGCGCACCTTAAACTCATCATACTCCCGCTTCACCTTCCTCCGGTCCTTCACAAAGTCCGACCGCCGCTTGTTCTTCGTCGGGTCGCCCTTCATGTTGAAATACGTGTCCGGATTCCGTGGCTCGATGTCATGTTTGCGGCAGAACGGCACCCATATGTTTGCGAAGCTCGCCGCCTCCGCCATGGCTTCGAAGGTCAGCAATGCGCCGCCGTCATCGGAGATGTAGCATGCTAACTTCTCAATTGGGTACTCAACGGCCAGGATGGAGAGAACGGTGTTAGCGGTGACGAGCGGAGGTTCTTTTTCTGGATCGGCGGTTGAGACGAAGAAGTCCAACCCAGGTAGGTCGGAACGGCCTGTTGGGTTAGCCGGTGATGCTGTTTCGAACTTCTCCTTCAACACCTGCAAATGGTTTTCGTGCAAATGTTCGGTTTGAATAAGTCTATGAATTCAATTTATTTTCTTATGGTTAGAACTCAAATTAAGATGAAAAAAACACATTATTTGCAATGGAGGTTGAGTTGAGTTTGTTTCAAACAATGAATGGATTGAAAATTGATTCTTATGAATTCATGCTTGCATGTTCCTTTTTTCTTCATGCACACCGTGCATACGCGCTCAATGTGTATGACAAATCTTGAATTTTGGACATCTTGGTTGAAAGAAAAAACACTCAATAACTAGACCAAATTGGCTTGCACGTTTTTCATTCTTATAGTCTTAAATCCAAAAAAAACTCAATAACACATTATACTTTTCCTCATTTTATCCTTGAAGGCTTATGCAAAAAACACTTTTATCTCGTTGTTTCTTAAAAAAAAAAAAATTTCTTATGTTTTTCTCTCAGTCTTCTCGGCCCTTTTCTGCCTCTACAATGGACAACATCCCAATAGACAGTAATCACATCACAAATGAAGAGCTAGATGCCACTGTCTACGAAAAATGGAAGAAATAGCATTCAAAGAGAAAGAAGAAAAATGTTAAGGTATCAATGGATCATATGAAGTCTACAAATGGAACATTTTATGACACTCAAGCAATAAAGACTCCTCTCTCTAGGTCGATGCCGCAAATTACTACAGAAGATGTTTCAAAGAGCGCCATTGAAGTAGAGCCTTTTTTATGCCTCCTTGATGCCAATACTTGCAACTTATTTCCAAGAATAGCCATTTGTTCCAGTTGCTCATGTGATGAGTAAGTTGAGGGTGTTAAATTCCTTATCGCTGCCATAATTAAGTTAAGAATATTTTCATTAATAGTGATTTTGATTAGAATTACTTTTAAAACATTAGTTTTATTAAATATTTTCAATATTTTTATAGCAGTTCAATTTAATTTAAGTGACTTTATGTGTGAAGATCAGTCCATTGATCGGCAACATTACCTTGTTGTCACAACGACTACCCCTGCCAATTAACTGTTTGCTGAAAATAAAAATTTGATGATCTAGTTCCTCAAAAAGGAGATCACGTAGAGATGCCACATACAAATTTATCTACTTATGTAATCATGTGTTCTGGTATGTATCATTTTCTATTTTCATTATCGAGTTTGATCTAGTTTTTTTTATAGAAGTTTGTTCCAAAGAGAACATCAAACATACCATAGATGAAAGTATTGCCATTTATGTGGTCACTCAAATCGCTAGAGCTCAAGAAACTCTTCTTTAAGTATTAAGGAGTATAACCCGAATACAATTACTATGATTTTAATGACTCATGCAGTTCATTATGAAGTTGAAGAAAATAGAAAAATTAAAGATTTATGGAAGGATATAAATGAATTCTAAGCTAAAGTTGAAGTAAAGGTAGCTACGCCGATGAATTATATTTTAGATATTAAGAACTCACCTGAAGAGAAGCTGTGGCAAAGTGATTAGATGGCTTCTAGGTTGGTCATAATCCAACGACACTTAGAATCAACTTAGTTCAATCAATTTCAATCAGTGGGAAATTTAATGCTACACCGACTTCTATAGCTTGGAAAATAAGCTCTAGGGGTGTTGTGCGTCCATTATTTTCTTTATTTATTTTAATAATTGAATTAATTTAAAATTAAATATTTCTTTTGAAAAAGAAAGCAACTTTTAAAATAATGTATCCTTAGAGTCATTTTTATTATTTCATTAATTTTCTTTATTCTTGAATCTTAAACTTGGTAGTTGTAACATTTTTTAAGTTTATCCTTTTTTTCTTTATATTATATTTTCTTATATAATTTTTACATATCTTCTCTTAATCTCACACATGTTTTCGGTGAGCTCATTTGTGGCCTTCACTCTATAAGAATCTCCAAAGAGCAGACATGGAGCAGAAAAAAGTAACAAGGAGTTTCTTTATTCCAGTGGGAAGAGGATTCTACTACCCCCAAGTCCTTAGAGATCCCAGCCAACCACCCTCTCGATCACTGAATTATCATGTTGTATTTGATGGACAAAGTATTTGATGGAGTTGACTGAAGATTGATATGTTATAGAAAGTACGAGTCTCTAGTCGTATCTCATTTAAAGACCCCACACAATTATGTAAGGGATAGTGGTTGTGGCCAATTCTATCTGTTTATAATGAAAAACATGGTTTATACATAGCATTGTGCTTACACTATAGGCTTTTGATGATTCTTTGATAAAAAAATTTCTAATATGCTTGGTTTGAATGAGAAGTATATGAAAAATATTATTAGGCTAGAACAACAGGCCAATGCTAATAATTTGAATATCGAGCAATTCAAAAAAGAAGAAAATTGATAATTAAGCCTGAATGCTTGAAAACCATTTCTTTTTTAGTACAATTCAAGAAGTTGTTGGAGGAGACCAACTTAGAGAAGATTTATGGAGAAACCACCACCAATGCATAAAAAACCTGTAACATTTTCCATTCATCACTTGTAACATTTTTGAGAAACTTTTCGAACTCCTTATTTATAATTATCTTAATGAATAAAAATATTAGCCACAATATTCATCATCACTTAAATGATGCTTTTAACTTTCTTCAATTAATGCCTTACACTACCTAAATCCTTAGTATAAAATCCTATTTAAAACGATTCTTTTATCGGGTCATATCTTTCTTCAAACATATTAAGCAGATCTTATCATTATCTTTGCATATGTAAACATTTAGTCTGGCCTCAAGGGTGACTCGCATGCTACTCATTACAAATATTATTACAAAAGGAGGGAGTCTAGCCTTCTAGTCATGACTTGTGATAAAACAGTGTACTAAGTATGCACGAGACTTATTGATGCTTGAATATTGAGAAAAAAAAGGAGAAAACCAATAAGAAAATTATCTAATTGAATTGATATTTTTCCCACAATTCTTTTTTAACATAGAATTGAGATCAATCTCACATGTTATTTAGATTTATAAAGCCATTAACTTGAATCATTCAAATTTCTTATAAAAGTAGTTAGATCGTGATAAAAAGGAATAATTTTAAGAATCCTCCATATTAATTTTAAAAAAAATTAAATAAATCAATTTCTTGAGTAATTTATAGAAGTAGATGAGAAATAAAACTTTTGCTATCTCATGGAAAAGAACCTTTTAAGATCGTCTCAGCTCCAGGTTTTAGGAATCCGACTTTCATAATACTCAGTAGCTTGCATGCTCTAAGTTTGACTTTTTCTTCGATAATATTTGGTCTAGTCCATGTTGTTGCTAAATTTTCAAGTGCTAAATTGTGAGAAGTTATGTTAATTTCTTTTAGTATTAATTTACGAACCCTAAATTACTTTTTTATTACTTGAATTACAATATTTAGACATCATTCTATTAATTTCCTCCTACTTCATTGAAGATTGAACTTGCAGTTCTTCCAGTAGGTCTAACATGATATACATGCCTTTGTTGTTGTCTTTTTTCATTCTTCAAATTCACCTTCTTCAGGATTGATAGTTGCAAGTACCCTTTGATTATGCACGTCATACTTCTCTAATAACACAAATTCAGCTATATCTCTTGATATAAAATTCTCTTATGGTTATTCCGCTTTCTTTTCTCTTTTCTTCTCTCCTTTCTACTATTTGAAGGAGTAGATCCTTTATTATAAGGATACTAAGTCTCATCATATCTTCTTTAGCAGGTGTTTATGGCAGAAATCCCTTTAATTGTCATTGGAAACTTGCCTCCTCAAACTACAAATAAAGATAACTCAGTTTATATGTAAACTCTGGGTGCAACTCCATGCTCATGCTCCAATATTTCTCTAATCTTCATCATCCTTTGATCCCTCAACTTGTTCAACTTGTTCAAATATCGAACTATAAACTCTCATGTGCACTCCATGTTGATTGATTGACCCTTCTAGATCTCCGACTTCTTTCCCGTGCAAAACTTATCATCTAGCCCACGGCATGATCCATGCTCATCAAACCTCAGATGATATTAAATATAGAAATATCAGTGGTCTCACACCACATAGGCAGAGCTTACAAGAGAAGTGAAAGTGGAGTGATGAATTTAGCATTGATAAGAAAAACATAAAAAAGATTCTTCCCTCGCTTGAGAATGACCTCCCCTAATTATAAATTCAAAGGTTGTCATGCCCAAAGAAATGAATAATTACACAAAAAGCAAGACTCATACAACTTGAAGTATGATATTGCGCTTGTTGGTGTAGTTAATAATGTCACATGAATATGAGACGAGTTATCGAAACTATTCTAGTCCAATTAAGACGAGTCGTTACCATGCCAAATTAAGGCAAGTTGGTGAAAGTTATTGAGCTGATGACATGTGCCAACTTATACCTTCTTCTACATAATTGAATAATCATGTTTCTCTCATGTGCCTAATAGACCCATGTTTCACTAATGTTCGATTTATCGACATGCATATTCATAGGTATTTCGATGTTCGATCCAAGTGAATACGGTCTTCGATTATTCAAAATTATAATTTCAATCCAAGTACTTTAAAATAACTTTTATTCCCAAGATAATTTTCAGCTAACTTTGATTAATAAATTACTAAAAACTTACATGCATATCACTCACTTTCTAATATGTCAATTTTAATTTTTACATATATCTTATGCATAACAATGCCTAATAGACCCATGTTTGACTAATGTTCGGTTTATCGATATACATATTCATACGGCTTTCGATGTTTGATCCAAGTGAATACGGTTTTCGATTATTCAAAATTATAATTTCAATCCAAGTACTTTAAAATAACTTTTATTCCTAACATAATTTTCAGCTAACTTTGATTAATAAATTAGTAACGATTTACATACATATCACTCAACTTCTAATATCTCAATTTTAATTTTTACATATATCTTATGCATAACATTCTTTTTTTTTCAAAATTAAGAAAGTTATTTTTTGTATGACATGAAATATTCGCGTTGAATAAATTCAAAAAGCAAATCTTAAACTACATATATAAATATATATAAATTGGTTGGTGTGAATGCAAATGACCATTGTTTATTAGTATTATTTTTATGCATAACTTTCCTTACCTTGAGGTCGGTGGTACGATTAATCGGGTGCAGCTTCGGCACCTGGTCCAGAATCCACGAGAAGGCGAACCACACCTCGCAGACCACCGACATCCCCCACAGCCACGGCGCATCCACGTTCGGGTGCTGTATCCGCCAAGCCAAGAAAAAGAAGAGCGCCACAAACCGCACCAGCATTAGCAACCGGTAGGGTTGTATAATGGCCGCCGGCACCGGCATCACTCTCGTCAGCGGCTTCCACGGCTGCCCCACCTTCTTTCGGCCAGTACGCATTGCCATACCCGTACGTTCCTTGCGTCTCAAACAGCCACCTGTTATGGTCGAAATCCACGCCCGTCTGACTCCGAACCAGCATCGACTTGCTTTGCTCCATCTTCGAATGAGGCGCCGGCAGAGCAGGCTTGTCCGCCGCCTTGAAGGAATCCAGCGGTCCGTCGTCTTCGTAGTCACCCGCGGCCCGATACGGGTCCTTGCACCCGGGGCAGTTGCCGGTTTCCTTGACCGCGTCGAGGTAACAATCGCAGCAAATCTTGAATCGGCATTCGCATGGGTGGATGTCGTTCCCTCGCTCGTCGGTCGTCACCTTCCCGTCGCATGCGGGCATGGCGCAGGAGAGGGAGCTCTTCGCGCCGGCCATTTGGGGGTGGGATACGGCGGAGTCGATCACCTTGTCCATGAGGTGGGCCCGCGTGACGCTGTTGAAGCCGCCGGTGAAGAGGGAGCTGGACACGTATTGCTCTTCTGCTTTTGCGGCCACGGATCGGGCTTCGATGGGCTCGTCCATGGGCTGCTGGTCGGGGGAGGGAGGGATGCGGACGGCGTAGTTGGTATAGTCTTCAGAGAGATTGGCGGAGAGATTGATCTCTTCGTGGGAGAGGCTGACGTAGCGGCCGCTGGACGTGCGTCGAGCAAATTTGACGGATTGGGTGGAGCCGGCGGGTTTACGTATCTAACATTTAAAGTTTATCTTTATATATTTATATGACTAAAAATTGTTATATCATATAAAAATATTATCATTTAAACTTTTAAAATGTGGATCACATCTTTTCAAATATTGATAAGATGGATTGTATGTATAAGTTTAGATGGTGGTTATGTAAATATAAAGCAATTGAGTGGTGTGTATTTATTTGTTATATCATATAAAGATATTATCATTTTAACTTTTAAAATGTAGATCACACCTTTTCAAATATTGATAAGATGGATTGAATGTATAAGTTTAGATGGTGGTTATGTAAATATAAAGCAATTGAGTGGTGTGTATTTAAATCTTTTAAAGTAATTCTTAATAAAAATATTGTAGTACATTTTTTTGTGTTTGTGGTGAAATCAAAGTTATTTATTAATTAAAAAAGGTATTTACATACATAGCACCGAATTCTTATTATATTTCGTTATTACATACATACCACCCAATATCTTCCAATTCCCATATCCACTACTCCTTACAAATGGCATCAACTTTGAGCTCCGGCATGAATGGTGAAGCTTGCAAAGGCTGGAGGGGAAAAGTGGGCGGAAAATTGATGCCTATGATGAGAGTTTGGGATGTCTCTGTACCTCATGATTTGTATGCCAAGATCGTGTTTTGGAGAGGTCCTTTTACGCCACGATGACATCATTGCCTTCTAAGTTAGTTCGGACGACAAAGATTTGACTGAGTGGCATGAATGAGGAATTGACAAGAATTGAGTGGTACGTATGCCATGTTAAAGTTTGGAGAGTCAAATATGAAATATAATAAGAATTGTGAGGTATGCATGTAAATCTCCCTTAAAAAAAATATCTGATTGTTCTTGTTACTATAATTAAGATTGTACTTTTGATGTATCTTGTACTTCATTTAAATAAGTATTTGACATATATTAGAGTTGAAATAGTTAACATTTACTAACATCAAAAGTTATTTGTTACTTGAGAAAAAATTGTCAACATGTTTCATAATTGTGATGGGAATATACCCAATTTAAACTTGTAATTATTTAAGAATAGTGCTTAATGAGATTTTTATGACCCTAGTTCAAATAAAATCATAGTGAATTAATCATAAAGATTAAAATGTCTAAGTTATTAGAAGAGATTAGATATGTAGAGTTCTTGATTGATAATTATTAATTTTATTTTATGTTAAAGTAATCTAGTGTGAAATTAATTTATAAAATTAATTATAATAAGTGTGGTGAATTCATAATTCTAATATATTTTTTTCTCTTGATTTTGAGTCTAGAAATTAGTAGTAGAAAAATCTATTTCAACAACTTTAAGAAAAATTACAATTCAGTTAATTATCGAATGGTAATCAAGTGTAATATAAATTAATACTTAGTTATAAATTTAATTTTGATTCTCGTGGGAATGATCTTCAACTCATCATATATCACTTGACTAGTATGTGCAATTGGGTACACCGTTACACTAGTCAGTAATCATGTAAGAATAGTACTTATCACAATCTTATTATTATAGTTCACATAAGAATATAGTGGATTAATCATTAAAATTAAAACTTCTAAATTATCATAAGAGACTAGAAGATACACTAGTTCATGATTGATGGTTACATATAAATGGAAATCATATTATAAAATTAAGTACGATAAGTTTAATGAACCCATAAATCTGTAGTTTTTCTCTTAAATTTAAATTTAGAATTTAGTAGTGTAAATTTATCTCATAAGATTTAGATTATAGCTTTAAAATCACTTAAAATTTTATTGGATAAAATTTAAAGGTGATTTATATTAATACTTAACGTATCAAATTTTCAAATATGAAGCTCATGAGAATAATAGTAGAATCATTTTGTATTACTTTTGTAGTAGATGTACTTGTGTGTACAATTTTAGTCTATCCTAATTTTTTATTTAGAAAAATTATTATTTTAATCTGCTATAATGAATCACCATTTACTTTATGAATGGTTAGTTCTATATATATATATATTGACTGAAGAAAATGGCTCTGTTCTTCCTGGCAGTGCCCCTCCCACTTTGATTAGGTTTCCTGGATTCATGGACTTAATCGATGGAGGTGTTTTTAAGAGGTTTTCTGGTTTTACTTATGATTTTATTCTCAATTTTGTTAGTGTTTTGGAGTTTTTGAAGGTTTTTTGGTGGTATTGTTGCTTTTCTGGTTACCGCTCCTCATTTTGGTTGAGTTATCCTTGTGTTATTTACGGTGTCTGCTAGATTTTTTGCTTTAATGAAGTTGTTTTTTGGTGTTTGTTGTTTCCTAGGCTCTTATTTTGTGAGTTTTCACATTCTACTATGGTTTCATTACCTCTTTGGTTGCTTCTTTCCCTCCTCCCTTGACTGAGTACCTTGACAAGACTTCCTTTGTTGATGTGGTTGGTAAAGGCTTGGAATTTGTGGCATCTATAGATCATCTAGTGCTTCCTTAGCTTTACCATGACTCTTTTGTAGGGACAGGCGACTGCTTGTTTATTGAGAAGACTAGTAGGAAAGCTGGGAAACCAACTTTCATATTCTCATATATTGAAGTATTTAATTCAACTAAAAATTGCAAATTCACACTCATTAGAAAATTTCAGCTAGGGCATCCCAAAATGCATATTGTAGAAAAGTTTTTTATAGATTTCAACCTAGTGATGCAATGGAAGGTGGGTTGCTTTGATGAGAGACATGTAATGATATACTTCACAAAAGAAGAAGACTATGCCCAGATTTTCTTAATGAAATACATCACAATTGATGGAAACTATATGAAGCTGCACGAGTGTTCTCCTGACTTTAATCCAAGCCAAGAACCACCAATAGTTTCAATTTCGTTTAAGCTACCTGGTCTCAAGTTGCACTTTTCCAACCATTAAGTTCTTTACTTCATTGGAGCTATGATACACCTAAAATATATAGCATTTATGTACACATTTTTATACCTATTTTTTATAATATTACGCTTTAATGTAAGGTATTTGTGTGTTTTTCTTTTAGGTATAATTAAATGAATGAAATATGGTGAAAAGAGTAAAAAAAACAAATTTAGAGCAAAAATGAAGAAAGTGTGAGAATGAACTGTGACTCCTAAGCTCCTAGGACTGACGCTTAAGTGCCAGAAGACAGAGAAGATTGCACCTAAGCCCCGATGACCTTGCGCTTATGCGCAAGAGGTAGTTATGATGAAAATTAAAAGAATTTTCAATGAATTTTGAAGGGGTGTTTGAAGCAACTCTTGGTGAAAACATGAATTACAATTAATGGGCACAAAAATTCATTGAAATGACTCTTGAAAAGGGGTAACTCTTAGAAGATTCATTGAATGTGGATACATTTTTGAAGAGACACCAAAACACCTTTTGGAAAACTATAAAAAGAAGGACTTGGATTGAAGAAAGAGGAGGAAAAAACGAGATTAAGAAAGAAGAGGAAAAAACGAGATTAGAGATATAGAAGACTTAGGATACTTTTAAAGAGTAGAAAGTAAGGAGTTATATAATTTATTTAAGGCTTCTTCTTACTTTTCTCATTCTTGGTGAAGGAGAAAGTAATTAGATAGTTCTAAGTAAGAATCCATTGTAGTTTGTTAGTGAGATAAAGAGATTTTAAGAGATTTTAACCCTCCTTGTTTACTGAATCTGCAGCTAGGCTGGGAGGATACCGGCTCTCACTTCGGAGCTAAGAGAAGTGATTTAAATGAACTTCAAGAGTTTGGTGGAGAGAAATTTGAGATAGGTTTTTATCTATATGACTAAATTTTTTTTTAATTTAGACTTCTTGTGTTTTTACATGGTTTCTACTTTTAACATTAATTGTTGTTGTGTTTTCTCAATAAATTTTGAGTAGTTTTCATTATATTTTTCCTTAAAATGATAAATAATTAAGTGTTGGAGGGAACTTGTGTAAAGTGTTGGTCTATAATGCTGGAATAAGTTGTGATGATTTAATCCTTGTACTTCATTTACTTCTTAATTTTGCCAATTGAGATGTTAAAATTTGTTGTGAGAACATGTAAGATCCGTGATGGTATTATCTCAGTCAACTAATGGTAGAATCACATGAGATTGTATGGATGAGATGTAATTCATATGTTTGAATGCAAATAAATAGGGAAATCAACTTTGAAGGGTGTAGAGTTAGATGACTTTAGAGTGACAGACTAAAGCCCCCAATTCAGTCTATTATTTAGGTTCTGATACTAGAAGTTAGTCCTCAGGTGGAGGGAGAATAGGAAACTCTAGAGTGAGAGCTAGTATCTTCCCTACCTAACCCGTCTTCAGGACTATTCAAACTTTAGATTAGCCGATGTTCTTTATAACATCTCTAGTAAGAGTAACAAATAATATTGCTCATATTTGACACAATATAATTTAAATACTTTCACAACAAAATTCCAATACTTGTTACTGATGCATGATAAGGAAAAAAATATTTTATTTGTATTGCTTTCATCTTATAAAAATTTATTTAAATTTAGTTAGTTGTTTAATTTATATTTTAAATTATAAAAAATTACCAAGAAAGAATCAAATTTTCATTCCTACCATAGTATTTATAGTTTAAGTAAGATTCTTTTTCAAAGTAGAATTTGTTGTCTAATTTCTTCTTAAGAGTTTGCAGTTCTCCATATGGGTTCGATGTTTTGGGGCTTAATAAGAAAATCATATATTACTTGATAACGATATGTATACTTACGTAGTATCTCAATATTTAAATATAACAGTTGCACTCTTACTTGCTTCATAACCAAGTTTTTGGCATTGTTGTAAAGAAGAACTATGAAATCAAGATAATTAAGAATCTAACCGCACATACATCGTAGTACTATCATATCAGAAAGTAGGATCAAGTTTTTGGAACCGTTGTCGGGGAGAATAAGAAAAATTTAGCAAAATTTGAAGGAATTTTTGGGAAAACAAAATTTTTATTTTTAGAAAGCCTTATTTAAACTTTTAGATTTATTATAGGAATATCGTTGTGTTGTTTTTAT